TTCCCAAATGCTCACAAATGAGTTACTCTCCCTAACTTATTGTAGTTAAAACCTTTTCTGCAGGGGAAAATTTTAATCAATGTATATGGCCTATTCAGCATTTTTTTTTTAAGAATTCATTTGAGAATACATAAGGCAATAGATCATCTACTTAGTATTTCCATCATCAAGTCAAGAGAGTGAACGCCTGGGCCCAACCTGCCAACTGAAGGCCTAATTACCTCTCTCTCTCGGCTTCCAGGCATATATGCCTAAATCACTGGTGCAGGCCCCTATCTGCTACCAACCTGCTTATTTTATAGTTTTCAAATAATAAATTGGTAGTGATTCCTGTTTGTTTTCTATGTTTTTAAATTTTTTTCAGTCAAGGTTGTATTTTAAACTTGTTTAATTTCCCTTGAATTCTAAGGTTCTATAAGATTTCTTCCCAGTTTTGCCATATTTAAAACCAGAGCCTTTTCTTGTTTTAATTCAAAGTAATATCCCAGATGATGTTTCACTTTATTAAAAGTACCTCTTTAATAAGAAATCATGATTACTTTGCTTTAAGCTTCAGGATAAGAAAGGAGTATTTTCTCCATTATATTTAATTACTAATCAAAGTATTGAATATCATTGTAAAAATAAAATAGGAATGTCAGATGTGAACTGTGATACCAAATTGTTGATTTTTAAAAGGAAATTAATCATGTGATCTGCCCTAAGTCGTTGGTTTCAAAAATCTCAAGTATTTAACTTGATGTAACTAATATGTGCATTTAATTTTTAAACAGTTATTCCGAAGTATTAAAAATCTTCAACATTCTAATTTTCAGTCAATTTTCTCTGCAATGCATTGGAGGTGTCCATTACCCTTTAAAATGACCTAGTAAGAATAATGTCCATTGTTCCAAAGTGATTTTCTTAAAATAGTATGATCCCCACCAGATATTAGTCTTCATTGAAAGAAAACTTCGGACTCTTAAGGAGAATAATGAAAAACAATTACGTATAATGGTTTAGGGTAATTTTGATTAGTAATATAATTTACTAGAAGCACTGAAGGTAGACAGGCTTGCATTCCAACCCAGACTCTGCTACTTTGTAGCTTTGACAAGTTATTTTTCCTTTCTCAGTCTTAATTTCTCTATGTGTAAAATCAAGATAACACCAACATGCCTGCCAGGTTAAAATGAGGAATACAAATGCTAGGACATCAAAAAGGACCTAGGCAGATATTAGTTTTCTAATTTTTCATTTGGAAGGATCATTGTTCTGCAGAATATTTTTATATAAGGTTTTCAGAGCCAGCAGAGACTGAATCACCTTCTGGCCAAATGCAGTGAGCTGCATAGGGAAGGAAGTACTTTGTATGGAAGACTTACAATGGGCCCGAATGTGTTTCTGTCACTTCCAACATGACCATGTATTGTTCTCCTTAATTATTTCACTTGGCAAAAAGACATTTGGCCCCTCTGCTTGTTAGCATATCCTCAGTGTAATCAGAAGGAGCCAAGCTTGACTGTTTAAAGGATTCAGCTTCTTGAAGTTTGTTCTCCTGCAGACCTACAGGGGGATTTGTCCCAGGTCCCCGTTTACAATAGAAGACCTTCCATTTACAATAGAAGACCTTCCGTGAATAATCTGATAGGGCATGAAAACAGAATAGACTCCTTTATTTGCCAGACAGGTGAGGCCCTACTTTCTCTTGTTGCTAAAAATCTGGCCTGGAAAAATGACTAGCATTGCATTAGTACTAAATTAGCCTCATTGCTTTTGCAATCATTACCCTCAAAATGATTTCACTGAGAAACCAAGAATAACAATGGAGACTTTACTCCCTTAGGGTACTGAGAAATTTGAAAACGGTTTATAATGTTAATAATAGCCATAACATCCAACAATTTATGGCAATTTTCAATGATCCAAGGTTCTTTCATGAACATTATCTCATTTGATTCTCACGTGAACCAAATAAGATTGGTAGAGCAGATACGGTTATTCTTGACTACCAATCTTATTCATTCCATTGAATAAATGAGGAAATGGAGATCAGAGAGGTTGTTTCTTGTTTAAGATTATTTAGCCCAAGACTTCCAGCACAAAACTTTTATCTGTGAATCCCCCTCTAGTCTAAGGGTAAAGGGTAAACATTGAGTGGTAACTGGTACTAGAATAGATTTGTTGCCTACAGCAATTCTGTGAAGTAGGTATTACTCCCATTTTACAGATGAGTTTGCTTGGAGTGGTTAAGGGCCTACTGAAGGTCACGTAGATAATGAAAAAGACTTTATTCAGAGGTTTCTGTCTCCGTACCCTGTGGCAGACAGTCTTCTACTCAAGTGATTCCTTTCTATCTATAGGCATGTAGACACAATCATTACTGGTGCACCTAGCACTGACTAGAATGGCCTCCAGTGATGCCTGGGATACATATTTACCTGTAACAGTGTATAAAGCAGGGATTTTCTGTAATCCCAGCACTTTGGGAGGCCGTGGCAGGCGGATCACGAGGGCAAGAGATAGAGACCATCCTGGCCAACATGGTGAAACCCCATCTCTACTAAAAATACAAAAATTAACTGGGCATGGTGGTGCGTGCCTGGAGTCCCAGCTACTCAGGGGGCTGAGGCAGGCGAAAGGCAAGTGAATTGCTTGAACCTGGGAGGCAGAGGTTGCAGTGAGCCGAGATCGTGCCACTGCACTCCAGCCTTGGGACAGAGCAAGACTCCGTCTCAAAAAAAAAAAAAAAGCAGGATTTCAAAAGTATCACATTTGGCAAAGCTTCAGTGTTATTCTCTTCCTTTCAGATCACCCTCATCCTTCCTACCTCCATGAAACAAGAGGAACTATACTAGCAGAAAATAGGGGCAAAATTCTCCAATTATTGGCAGTGAAGTGTAGTAGCTAGAATGGTGGGCAAAAAGCAAGACCTACGATGGAACCCCAGCTTTTGACTTACTAGCTGCATGTCCTTGGGCAACTAACTTACTTAACCACTCTGTCTTCCAGCATCTTCACCTATAAAGATGAGGATAAGGATGTCATCTTCTTTACAGAGTTGACTATGACATAAAATGAGTTTATGAAAAGCACCTGGTCCATAGTAATAATAGCTAATATGATTTTGCACCGGTAGAAAATATTTGATAAATATTAAAATTGGGTTTTTGTTTGTTTGTTTGTTTGTTTTTTGAGACGGTCTCACTCTGTCACTCAGGCTGGAGTGCAGTAGTGCAATCACAGCTCACTGCAGCCTCAACCTTCTGGGCTCAGGTAATCCTTCCGCCTCAGCCTCTCAAGTAGCCAGGACTACAGACACTCACCACCATGCCTGGCTAATTTTTGAAATTTTTTGTAGAGGCGGGATTTCTCCATGGTGCCTAGGCTGGTCTCCAATTCCTAGGCTCAAGCAATCTGCCTGCCTCGGCCTCCCAAAGTGCTGGAATTACAGGCATGACCCACTGTACCCAGCCTAAAATTCTTATTATTTTTATTCTACTCTGTAACCAGATTTAACCCCTCTCGAGTCTCTTCTGAGAGCTAACTCACAGGGCACAGTCCCAACACCAGGTTTTGGTATTCCTTTCAAATAACTGATATGCCATATCTCACCTGCCAAACAGTTCCCAAACAAGGTGTGTACGAGTAAAAACTACATATGGTTTATTCTCATTTACATGTACTAGGGTAACTCATCATTTAAAGGAACTTTTTGGGCCTTTTCATCACTCTTTTTATACTTCCAGTTTAGCATTTTCAGGACATGTAATTATCTTTCTTCTATTTTTCTTACCAGACAATGAGCTCCTTAAGGGCAGAGGACATGTCATACTTAATTTTATATTCCTAGTACCTACAATAGTGCCTGGCATGCGGTAGCTTTTGTTTATTGACTTACTGAATGAGTGGAAGGATAATTGAATGAATGCATGGTTAATTCTTTTGTAAGGTAAATAATAATCTCTGAATTTTGTGTCAATTTGAGTTGTCACACTTTGAGTTTTCTTAAAGATAACTGATCTTGGTTATCAGGGCATGGCATTATGTAACCCCTCTAATTACTATCCCATAATTCTGTGTTTGTTTTACCAGTCAAATAATTCATTAACCACAATATATGCCTAAGTATTTGGTTTCAATGATCAGGCTCAAACTGATAAAAAGAAAAGTATGTCTCATGTTCTACACATATTATATTCTTTTCCAAGCAATGGGATATAAGATTTCAAAAATATACTTCAAAGTGTTAGCACTCATAATTATTGGGCTCATATGAAACCATTTAAGAATTCTGGGGTTTCAATAAAGTGTCAGGTTATACAGTGCTGCCATGCTGGAAGGAATTATAGACACCAACCAAAACAGACACTTCACTTTTGCAGAGGTAAAAAAATGAGGCCCAGAGACGTGAATGTTTTGTTTAAGGTCACACAGCTGATCAAAGATCAAACTGACCCTGACTTCAGGCCCCCATATTCTCAGGCCAGTGGCTTTTTGGACACTGGGACTAGGATTCCTTAGTAATGTTGATTCTGGAAGATGCAGGATTGGCCCCATAAGTCCAAACCAGCCAAGACAAGGTCATGATTTCTAGAACACCATCTTGTGGGGGCTGATCTGGGCTGGCAGCCAGTGGAAGAAGAGTCCTGTGGTCCACATTAAGGCTCTTGGATGTATACAGTCCATTCACATGGCGTTTAACTTTTAAGGTGTTAGAGAAATGCGGGTCTGCCACTAAAGAGAGGCAACATCAGAGGGGCACCCACACACATACAAAGTCTTCATAATGTCCCTCTGCAGTTTTTAAACATTTGAACTTTAAACTTTTAAACTTCAATAAATTATGTTGAAGGTTTGATGGAAACAAATGGTAATAAGCAATGGATTCCTTTTTTCTCACAGTGGATTTGTGTGTATAGAAGAATAGAAGAGGTGGTTCATTTTAAACTTTGCAATGTAATATTATACATGTTACTTTAAAGAGTATAACTTTGGCTCTTTTTCATTTCTGCACCCAGATTCAAAGGATTCCAAGGAGAAGAATAAAATGGAAATCTTGTACATACTCGTGCCAAGTGTTGCCATTCCCCTGGCCATTGCTTTACTCTTCTTCTTCATTTGCGTCTGTCGCAATAACCAGAAGTCATCATCACCACCAGTCCAGAGGCAACCAAAACACGTCAGAGGTCAAAATGTAGAGATGTCAATGCTGAATGCGTATAAACCCAAGGTAATGTTAGCAGTACAGAGCTGCATTTGTTCCATGGGTTTCAAGTTAAAACAACATTTTATAACCCTCCCAAGCTTAGAAATCGGATGATATGGAATCAGAGTTTTATAAGTGCTAAGGTTCATTTAACCAAATGCAAAGATGAACTGTCTCCCTCTATCTTTTCCCAAGACGCTTTCATCAGTATGTCTACTTCAGTGTTGGGCCAGCCATATCACTGCCTTGTCATAGAGTTGTTGGGCTAGAGGTGATCCCTAAGAAATCATCCTGGCCAGCCCGTCAGGACTCAGACAAACTTCACTGTCAAGAAATCCTTTTTGTTGCATAATGTGCAAATAGTTAAAACCACTATGCTATATACTTAAAAATTATTAAGACAGTAAATTTTGTTGTGTTTTTTACCACAATTAAAAAAAAAATCCTTTGTATGCCTTGCATCCCTTTTTCTTTGGCTTAAGTGTATTTTAAGAGAAATGTTGTCCTTCCAATAGTCTTTGAATGCTGTTTTATGACAACTAACCTTAGCCTTCTCCACTTTGAGCTAAATCAACCCCTTCCCTTTTGCTTTTCATCTACATCTTTCAACGTTTGAGTTGCTCAAGGTCCTGGCAAGGAACCCAGGGTCACTGGCCCTTACCCTAAATGGAGCCCCTGCACTGCATCTTGGAACTAAAACACAACAGAGTCTTTCTTTCAGGAAAGCCAGCACCATAACCCCAGGCCTCTCAGCAAAAAGATTTCATTTAAATAATTTAAGACTCTTGCATCTAAAAGCCTGGTTTTTTTCTAATTATTCCAATTCCATAAGAACATTCATTCATCCATTCAACAAATATTTATCTTCCCTGTGGACTAGTAACCGTATTATTCTTTTGACCCTCATAAAAAGGAGAAGCATCACTTTTAATAAAATTTTAGGAAAAAAAAGTCTTCACACTCAAATTAACTAATCCTCTTATCTAATAAATGGAGTAGCATAATTGGGCTGACACAGAGCCCTCTTTTTTTTTTTTTTTTTTTTTTTTTTTTTTTTTTTTTTTTTTTTTTTTTTTTTTTTTTTTTGCTTTACTGTTTAGATTTTTTTTACTTAAAAAGTCTTGAAAATATTTTTGCTATTATAAAGTAATATTTATTGATAGGATTTGGAATTCCTTACATGCTAAATATTCAGTGTCTATATTCTGTATTCAGCAAAACCACTGTTCTCTTGCTGAGTGTGAATTTTTATCATTAAAAAAAAATCTACAGATCCTGAAGACCATAGAGTTCACACAGTAGCCCAGAGGATGGGCAGAGGTGGGGATTCAACTCTTTTGACATCCCAGTTTCTAGCTAACTGATTTACATATATTATAGCATTTTATATAATATCACATTTAATCCTTACTACTTAGTGCTACTATAAAAGTAGTGGAAGCAAATGGACAGGGGTTAATATTGCTGCACATTCACCTAGTTGACCTGGCAGATACTTTTACCTAACTCATGACTTCAAGCTTCTAGTGCAAGAGTAATTGTTCCATGAGACTCTTTCCCTTTCATTTCTGTTGGTAAATGTGGAGAAGTCTTAGAAACACCAGAACTCTGGGTGGGGGAGAGACCTAGATCAGTTTGGCTACAGCAGACAGCAGTTTGGTGCAGTAGCCACCATCCTGGAAAGATGTACTCCTCATTGCCAGGGCAGGAACCCTGGAAGAATCATTTTCATTTTTAGAAATTATCAATTTTGTGGGTTAGCCGTAATCTGCAATTTAATTCTATTTTTAGTGGAGCTTTGTTTTATATCACATGGTGTCCAACAGAGATCCCAGAAAGCTTTGTGGCATAAATAGAAAAAAAAGCTAATATATATATCGATGAATACAAACTGTCAAAAACAATACCAGGAGCTTTTACATCCATTATCACAATTAATCCTCACAGCTATTATATAAGGCAGGTATTATTATTACTATTGTACAACCAGGGTAGTTGAGACACAAACAGACTAAGTAACTTGGCAAGGTCCAAGAGCTAGTTATTAGAGGCAATAAAATGTGAATACAGGATTTTTCACCTTTTCTAAATAGAGCCGGCCCTTGCTCTTGCAGAATCTGTGATAACTTTTTCACAGAACAGATCAAGTGGGGAAGGAGGAGAGAGGGTTAGGAAAGCAACTGAATGTGATCCCATTTGGTCAGTTTGTGCTGCAGAGTAACCACAGGCATTCTCCTGGCTTCTGACAAATCTTTAAGGGGCCTGCATGGCAGTCACTGAATGATGTAGTCCTAGCTCTTCCAGGGACATGTACAATTTGGCTAGAGCAATAATAGTTCCCCATCCTTCATGGTCAAAGAGACAAATGTAAAATATACTGGCATGAGTTTTCCCAGAGACTAGGTGAAGTAAACATTGTTTTCATAGTTTCTGGATCATTTCTGAGGTGTGCCTTGCTAAATCTCCCAGTGTCAAGATTTGTCCAATATGAGGCTTAGAGCTTAGCCTTCAACTGTTCACAAACACTCCTGAACCAGAGAAGTAGAAATGGCTTAAATATTTGAATGGGTTGGGGAGGGGAAAGGAAACAACAAAAACAAATGCTAACTTTTTTTTCTGACCCTTCTAAGGGACTTGGCCCCGATCAAATTTGAGTTATTCAATTGTTTGTTTTGGTTCTTACTGAGTGCCTTTCCTGGAAAAAGCACAAAGGACTTTGTAGACCTTAAAGAAAATTCCTAAATGTAAACAGAAAATCTCTAAAACTGCTTTGCAAGGTCACTGACACATAAATATTACATGTACCTATAAAATCTAAAAGGAAAGGACACACATAAGAAAGAAAGAAAAAAAAGTCCTGAAAACAAACACTCCAGCAGAGCACAATCAAAAGAATCTTTGGAGGTGAGGATGAAAAAGGAATGAAGGATAGAAGCCAGTCTTCCCTAGCCTTATTCTTTTTTCCCCTTGGCCAATTCAAAAGTCAGAGACTCTAGGGTTCTTATTTATCCAAATGAATATGCCCTTCAGGGTTCAGACTCTCTGCTTCCATCTCTCTTCACTTGCTGAGCTGCTAAAATTCTCCTGAGTGTGCTCCTGTGGGAGATTAGAAACCGATACCCTCGAGAGAGGACAATAGGGAGCTGCCGAGAGACTGGCTGACGAGGCCCAGCTTGGGTCCCCAGAGAGGTAGGACGATGCAGTTTGAAGTAAAAGCTTTTGATGAGCCATGAGTTTCCTTCTGATCTGTGGGCAAAGGAAACCAGTGGACCAGAGAGGCACCTTAACACTGAAGAGTCAGGAAGATGGAGATGCCCTGGATCCCCCGCCAGCTGCTCTGTGACTCTGAGAAGCCATCTAGCCTTTTGCAGTTCAATTTTCTCAGCTGTTCAGAGGAAGAAGTAGACTGAGCTCAAGGAGAAGACTGTTTATTTTCCTGTTATTTTGTTTAGCCAAAGATTTGAAGCCATTCAGTCCTCTAATGAGTACTGTAGTGATGCCTAAACGAAGCAGGATTGTTCTATATTGCATTACAAATTTTACAATCTGAGTGAGGTTACTTTTTCTTCTTTTAGTACTGCAGAAACTGAACCTTCTCAGACGAGCCTGGAAACTCTAAATTCCCTTCTCTGTTTCTTTTCCTTTGCTTCTCCTTCCCTGGCCCCTACATCCTCTGCCAGGTATGACTCGAAAACAGCATTCTGTAAGCTTGCTTGGGTAAGGGAGAGAAGCTGTGGTATGTGCTACTGTGGGAACAGGGAGGGGGCAGAGTCTCCCCTTCAAGAACAGGATGGGCCCCATTCAGCCCAGGCCTCCTGGCTTCTCACCTACATGGAGATTAGGCAGGCAGAGAGGTTAAAAGATGGAGGAGTCTGGTGGGGGAGTGGTGGGCACAGTTGCCCACACCTGTAACCTCAGCATTTGAGGAGACCAAGGTGGACAGATTGCTTGAGCCCAGGAGTTCAAGACCAGCCTGGGCAACATGGGGAAATCCCATCTCTACAAATGCACACACACACACGCACAATTAGCCAGGCGTAATGGTGCACCCCTGTACATGGAGCTACTCAGGAGGCTCAGGTGGGAGGATTACTTGAGCCTGGGAAGTTGAGGCTGCAGTGAGCTGAGATCATGCCACTGCACTCCAGCCTAGACAACAGAGTGAGACTCGTGTCAAAAAAAGAAAAAAAAGATGGAGGAGTCTGAGAATAGGGGCGAGGAAGAGTCAAGGCAGGCCAGGGGTGTGAGATGCAGCCAAGCCTGGACAACCCCCATGAGTCAAACTCCTGGAGCTCCTGACTGATGTAAGGAACATTGCAGGGGAAAGAAAGCAGGACTGGCCCAGCTTTCCAAAGCTGATGGCTGTGTTTTACTTCTCAATTTACCCTCATCTCTTGCCAGTTTCTCTGCTTTTTCACTTCCAGACAATTCATCTCTCCGTTCTCCTTTCCAGCCAAAGTAGTTGCTGAATATATTGAAATTTGATTACATTCTCTGGCCCTGTCCCTTTTGCCAGCAACACGCTTCCATCTAAAAGCCCTGCTGGAGTCTGGCTACCCTTTTTAATTCCCTGTTCTTACCAAATATCACCACACTTCATGCTAAAATATCCTCAATAACTTTTCCACTCACTCCTTAAAGCCATTGTCTCCCAACACTTCTGAGCTCACCATTCTATTAACATGGGCCTCTTGGGAATCACCAGTGATGTTATTTAATCCAGTGACCTTTGCCAAGTCTTCACCCCCTTTAATTTCTCTGGAGCCTTTGATATTCTTAACCACCATCCTGAAATATTTTTTCTTTCTCCTTGGCTTTCCTCATATCTCCTTCCCACACTTCCTTCACTAGTTCTTTAATTCCCTTAATGAGAGCATCCTCGGACATTCTTTTCCTCTCTCATTCTCTTGTGCTGATTTCATCCTCCGGCGTTGCTCTAGCTCCCCCTTGAGTGTAATGATTTCCCAAACTGGAAGGCGCAATTTCAAGTTTAAAATTCTTGCCACCAAAATCCTGCCACCCAA